CTCAAGGCCGGGCTGCAGGCCGCCTACCTCGGCGTCGGCACGGGGGCAGGACGGCGCGCAGCACGTGCCGCAGTGCGCAAGCGGGCTGACAAGGCGAGGGCACAGCGCGGGCGTCTACGTCGTTCCGCCGCAGCCCCCAGACGCTTCTGGGTTACAGCCCGAGTCGAACGTGAAGGACCGCAAACCGTAGCCTCCTACGGGAACCAGGTCCATGGCATGTTCGGCAGCGCGATGGTGCACCAGCGTCGGCGACTGGCAGCGGCCCCAGGTTCGGTTCGACGTGGACGATGTACCACCACCTTGATTGGTAGTCGGGCCCCACAGGCTGACCCTGGCACTCTCCTCTCGCGCCAGCGTCTAGCCCAATGGCTGCAGATTTGGATCGCCGGGCCCAAGGTCCGCCCCAGCGTGTACCGCGGTTGGCCGTCGGTGGTGCAGCATCTCAAGAGTGTCCCAGAAGTTCAGAGATCTAGATTTATGCGGGGTCATGTTTCTACTGTGGTGGCTTACCTACTGCAGACGGGCTGGGATCCCCAGACTCCTTCCGAGTGGGTCTTGACGAATGATGTGGGCAGAATGCCTGGCGTTTCGACGACGAGGCATCATGCTCGCTTGGTCCGGCCGATGACTTACTCCGTGAGTTTGAGGGGTGTCTCGGGCTGCGGCAGTGGCGTATTGCTGCTGGACTGGAGAATGGAGCGGGTCAGATTCGTCTCCGGAAGTCCATTCGTGATTTGCAGTATGCTGATAAAGGGCGGCAGTTGTCTGAGTTGATGCTCGCTATCGCAGTTGTTGGAGTTTGGACCAAAACGCGCAAGAATGCCGCTCATCTCTGTACTTCGGATGTGTGTGTGATCGGTGCTCGGCGGCTGCTGAATCGGAGCTCCATCGGTACTGGTTGTGCCCGCACAACACGGGGAACCGCGCCTTCACGGAGTCCGACCAGTTCGCGGCAGAGGCCATGGCAGGCCAAGAGATGCATGCCTGCTTCTGGAGACGTGGCACCGTCCCTGCGCCATGGACGCGGGTGACTGAGCCTGCGGCCGAGGAGCTGTGGCAAGGCGGCACCTTGTGTGGCGACGGAGTGGGGCCGGGCCAGGCTGCTTAGGACACGGCACGCCCGAAGCCACCTTGCACGCTGTTGGAGATGTTTCAGGAGGCAGCGATATGCACGATCCCAGGTTACGACGCGTCGGTCTGGCTGTTTGTGTGCTCGCCGCCTTCGGTCCAGTTCATGTGGGGCCATACTTGTTCGGGCCGCTCATCGGAGAACCCAGGCTGTCGCCAAGGGCGAGTTGGCAGCGCTGGAACTCGCTATTCGGTGTTCCACTGGATCCATGATCTGCGCCACTGACTGTGAGGAGGTCTGTCGTGGATGGTGGGCGAGATTGTACGAGAAGCCGTCTGGACAACTGTTTGGACTCTGGCGTCAGATCGGACGACACCCTCAGCATCGGCCAGCCACGGAGATCGCCATCCTGCGGTCCAGTCGCACCTCGAGGCCGAAGAGGTGGTGCGCCGTCAGCATCCGAGCTGGATGGTGCAGGGAAATGAAGTGGTGGATCGGCTGGCGCAACAGGCAACTGAAGACCGCCGTCTGCCAGAGGTGGAGAGACACCGCGCGGCCGCCACCGAGCAGAAGGCGCTGCTGGTGCGGAGGCGGCTGCTGCGGTCGGCGCTGTGCTGCATCCAGCTGGAGCGGGCCCAGGCCGCGGAGGCGGCGCAGGAGCGACGGGCGGCGCGGCATCCGCCCCTGCTCTTCCTCCTCCTTCTCCCCCCTCCTGCTCCCTCGGTGGTGGCACGCTTCGCGACGGCCCACACTCTGGACGATGAGGGGAGGAGTTGTCTGAGCTGTAAGGGGTCTGCCAGCAAAGCTTCTTGAGTGGAATGGTTTCAAAAGTGAGCACGCCCCTCCTCATAGCTGTAGATGGTAAGATATATCGGGCCCGACGGGGGTGCCATACCCATATCGCTGGAGGTTGGGCCCACCCCTCCCACGCCCTAATGTATCATCATAGCCTTACGCAGTATCTGGTTATGCAATGTTTGCGGCTGCTTCGGCCAGACCCAGCTCAGGGGTCTCAGTAGTCCGTGCAGTCTTCCCATTTCTAAGGCGCGTCGTGAATATCTCGATCGGATAGTTCGCGACCTGTTCCCCAAAGGCTAACTGAGCCTCGAGCAGGCTCTCGAGTAGAGAGCCCAAGTTTCGCCACGCGAAGGCTGTACTCCCTGTAATCCCTCGTCCTCCTCCTCCTCCTCCTCCTCCTACTCCTCCTCCCCCTCCTCCCTCTCCTCCCCCTCCTCCTCTTCCTCCTCCTCCTACTCCTCCTCCTCTTCCTCCTCCTCCTCCTCCTCCTCGTCCTCCTCCTCCATGTCTGGCCACGGCGAACCTCGGCCACGATTAGGTTTCCTGGCGCAGATCCAAAGGAGCCGCCTGAAAACCAAAGACTCCTCCTGAACCCAAAGCGGTCATCATGCCAACGTCCTGGCCTGACCGCACCCCCCCTCGGGGGAAGCCCACCGTGCTGATGACCTCCAGAGCGGAGTGCCAAAACCGATAGGCACCACCTGGAGAGGAAGAAGGATCGGGAAAGAACAGCTACATAATTATGAAGGGGCCCTGGGACACACACACACACACACACACACACACACACACACACACACACACACACGCGCGCGCAAAAAAAATACAAATCCCAAGATTCCACATATGTGTTTAATGTTCTGGATTATCGTCTCCCTCCTCATGTTCCGTACTTTCCCATCGTTCCTGGGGGTCGACGATGCATTGTGCCTGTGTGTGGTTTTCCCCTCGTGAACATAAGCATACACTTTCGGAGGTCCGCGCGGATTTCTCGGATCCGCGCTGCATCCCCCCTCCCTAGCGCGCGGAGCGCGCCAAGGGCGGCGTCAGAGGTGCCGCCAGGAGGGCACAGCGCCGATCCAACAAAGCCGCGCGAACACAAGAGCATCCATGGTTATGTTGGTGTTTCCTTTTCGAAAGGGGGGGCGGCAGCCGATGGCTCCCCCAACGGCAAGGCTGGACCAAATAACTAACAAACGACACTCCACCCCACCTGCGGCCCCACGGGCATTAGCATATACCATGAAGTCTGGCTTGGGCTGTTGCGTGGTATACGCTACGGCGCCCGATAGGCCGTAGCGCAACATGGAGGGTTGTAGGTGGGGTGGTGTCCCGTGTTTTCTGATCGGAAGGCCCACGGCTCCCCAAACTGCGGCCAGCCTATCGAGAGGAGCACGCGGACGTGGACTACGGATCCGTGGAGCTGGTGCGCAGGAGGCCAATGCCGCCCGATTTGGCGACGGATCGGCGGCACGCAGGAGCGACCCCAACAAAGTAGCGACCTTCGGTGCGCGCCTTTCGGAGAGGCACGGGGGGCCAAAACCACTCGCGCACACCGCTGCTGTCGCACCTCGTTCAACGGTCGGGGAGCCCCAATCTTAGCTGCCACGATACGCAAGACGCGACATGCAGCGTATTGATACGTAGGCTGAAGACGTAAGCCTGACGCGATACGCTCGCCTCAACGTGGGCCAATACGCTGAAACAGCACGCAATGTATTGACGCGGACGTGTTGACCAGGGTAAGTGTTGCGTTTCTAAACGGGCGTATCGAGGCAGGTAAGACCCTAATGGGTCCGCACCAAAGTCTATATCCCCAGGACGAAAGTTTTCTCCTCTTGGGCCCAGAACGACGGCTTGAATTCTAGAGCAGACGCGCATGAGATAACCGCCGTCGGATCCCCTGAAGTTCGCGCGGGTCCAATTGTGGCTTTGGCGTCTGTTTCGGTGGATCTGTTTTCCGCCCGCGCGGATCGGATCTCGGATTTGCTGGATCCGTGTTCGGTCTTTTTGCTACGGCGGATCCGATCTTTACCCCGCTTTCAATGCACATTCTTAGATCAAGACGGGGAAACGGAAAAAATCGGACCCGCGGACCCCGGAACCCGCCCGTGTTGAGATTCTGCGGGGGAAGGTAGAGGAAAAAGAACTATGCACATACACCGATTCTGGCCAGGCCCATCCTGAGCCCAGGATCGGTGCATACGCCCTCCTACCTTGGCCAGGAGGGCATATGCACCGATCTTGGGTCAAGGATGGGCCTTGCCAGGATCGATGCATGTGCATAGTTCTCTTCGCCCGAGAAGGGGTTCGTTCATGAACTTCCAACTCCTCGTCGCCATTTGAGCCGCGCCGTTTTTGATGGCCCCAGAGCCCGAGAACGGGCCCTGGGGCCATCATGAATGAAAAAGAAAGAACGCCCAGAATGAAAGAACGCCCAGAATGAAAAAAAGAGATCGTCGGAAATCGAGGTATTTTGTGATCCCTCCTGTCCTCCGCCTCGCCTTCGTCGTCGTCGTCGTGGCCGTCGTCGTCGCCGTCGCCGTCGTCCTGCTCCTCCTCCTCCTCCTCCTCCTCCTCTTCCTCCTCCTCCTCCTCCTCCTCGTTGTCCTCGACGTGATGATCCACCCTCTTCTGGTTCTCCTGCTCCCCTGCCTGCTACCCCTCTTCTGACTCATTCTTCTCGACCTCATTCTCCTCAAGTTTGCGTATCCTCGGAAGGGCCCTGGCCCCACGAGCTGCGGCTCGAGGATCTACTGACCCGGGTCAATGCAGACCCGGGTCCGTCGGGCTCTGCAGGATCCTGCAAGATCCTGCAGGATCCTGCGCGCTAAACCTGGGTCAATGCATCCCTGGCTCTGCAGGACCCTGCAAGATCCGGCGCTCTCGCTGAGCCCAGTATACACTGACCCCCGTCTCAAGGCTCCCGACTGCTGCGGAAAGGGACTTGCGGCGAAAAGGAGGACGACCGAGGATCGAGGATCGAGGAGGATCAAGGAAAATCGAGGATGGAAGAATCGAGGATGGAAGGAAGGATCGAGGAAAGAAGGGAAGGATCGAGGAGGATCGAGGACATGCCGCTGGCCGCCCCCCGTCTCGTGTCGTCGCCCGTCTTGGCGCCCCAGCGCGAATCCTGCGGCTGGCGGTGCTCCCCCAAGTTGAAGTTGGCGGTCGGTCGTTGCTGCCTCCGCCGGCGGTGCCCCATCCCGCCACCTCGTCCCCTCCTCCTCTTCTTCCTCCTCCTCCTCGTGCTCCTCATCCGATGCTCCTCTTCCTCCTACTCCTCCTCCCCCTCTTCCTCGTCCTTCTCGTCCTCCCTACTGGCCCTCGCTTCCTCCTCCTCCTGCTCCTCCTCCTTCTCTTCTCACTCATCCTCCTCTTCCTCCTCGTGGCCCTCGCATAATCCTCCTCCTCCTCCTCCTCCTTTTCCTCCATCCTTGCCCTCGTTTCCTCGCACCCCTTCCCTGACATCCTCGCGTCGTGACATCACTTCCGGCCTCCCTAGGCCCTCGCTGACCCTGGGGACCGTCAAGGGAAGATCTGGGATTGAAACCTGGTCCCGGGGAAGGGGTCTAGACCTCTGAGGCTCTGGGGAGCCACGCTGTGAAGAAAACACGACATCGGATTTCTGGGAAAATCCCTGCCCCCCCCTCCGTCTCAATGCGTGATGAGTAGGTCCTCCCCGTCGCACCTAGATGCGCGTCAGCAGGGCGGGCCACGCGGCTCGCCCAAGACCTCTTCACAAATCATGGTCTTAGAGCGTGGGGGGCAAGCTGCAAGCACGGAAGGCCGGTCATTCAACAAACGGGGCGCTTGCCTCCGCGCCGCGCACCACTGTCGCCAGACCTCGCGACCGTCACAACGACGAAGGGGCGGCTGTTTTCGATGTGGGCCTCGGGGTTCGCTCGAGACTTCCTCAAATCTAGCGATCAGAAGCTTGCTCGTGTGTAGCAGCTGCACGGGGCACGGACGGCTCCTTACCACGACGGGGCACGCTTGACAACGTGAAGCAGCTGCACGGATGAGGAGGGCGGCGCCTTCCCAAACGCAGGCTCTCGCGCCAGGCTTCAAACTGCACGTTCGGAAGTGCAAACTTGCCGAGCGGTCGCACGGAGGGGGGCCTTCCCAACACGAGGCTCTCGCTGGACTTCTCATGGTGCTCTCATAGTCATACACGCTTCGTCATTAGTGTAACTCGCTGGCGCGATGGGAGGCCATCCGTCCTCAGATTCGGGGTGCTCGCCTGAATGGCAAGCCCATCGAGTGATCGTCGTTCAAGTCTACGCTTTTTTTGTAGCAGGACACATTGGTAGTAACGGCTTGTGAGGCGGGGGCTTGGGGCGGGATGGTGTATCCCCTTGTCCTTGCACCCCCCCCCCCTTCCTGTCCCACCCCCTCCTCTCATTTCCTCTTTCTTCTCGTGCTTACCCTTTCATCTCATCGTTATCCTGCACCACATCCACATTCGCCTGCTTCTTCCGTACACTCCTCGTCCCCCATGTTCGTCTCCCGTCCTCTCTCTTCCTCCTCCTCCTCCCCTCTTCCTCACACCTCATCGACTCCGCGCTCTTCCGTTGTTCGCTGGTATCTGGTATAGCCCCGAGCATCGGGGGCGGGAGAAACATCCATACCTCCTAGACCACGCTCCACGTGATAGTAGGGAAATTGGGAAAGCGACGCCATTTTTGATGTGCAGTGGACGCGCACAGAAACTCTAAGGAACGCACACATCGGGACATCAAGGTGGAATTCGGTCGACCCGTGGAAATACGGAACAAACAAACAGCATGCATCGATGCCAAGTTGTGCACATACACATGATATGTGTATATATATATATATATTTGTACGTACGTGTGTGAAGATTGGCCTGTCAATACCGATGCACAAGCCTGTGGATACATCTGCCGATACATCTCAACGGGTATATACGTATATATGTTTATGTATACATGTTTGTACCTATGCACCATGCCTAAAAAATTGTCCGTTTGGGCAAACTACACAAATTATGAACCGATCCATCTGTCAATACGTGCGTGTACAATAATATACAAGCCGATGCCGATCTCACGATATATCTGTCGATGCATCCATCAATCGATCGATCCCGCCATCTCTCCACCAACTTCCGCGAACGGGGTGTTCTGGGAGTCCCTTCATGGGGAGTCAAGTTAAAGCAAACAAGTGACGTGCAAACAATGCAGCGTTCTTATTGCTTTCTATTTGGACTGACCTGATCTTGGTTCAGTTGATACTAAACAGATCTTATACCGCAAAAGGAATCAGCTTGGATTTTCTCCACGACGGGCATCCTCTGGTCACTCTCTACATAAGAAATCTGAATGACATCATCTACAAAAGGCATACACTTGAAATCCTCTACACAAAAAACCTCGTCTAACCTTCACACAAGAAATATGATTGCAATACTCTGCAAATGGAGTCCAATGGAAATCCGCAGCCACAAGAAGCCGATTGAAATCTGACATCAAGGGAGCCTGGTTGTAATATCATACCAAATAAATTCGATTGAAATCTACGACACAAGAAATCACAGTGAAATCCTCTACAAACGGGGTCCCGTTGGGGAAGATTTCAATGGAAATCATTGTGTGGAGGGTTTCGATGTGATTCCTTTTTGTGGCGGACTTAGACGATCCTTTTTGTGGAAGATTTCAATCGAAATCCTTTTGTGAAGGCTTTCAAGCTGATCCCTTCTCGTGGGGCCTTCTCGATGGGATTCCACAAGAATGTTGTCCTCCATTGTTTAACGTAAGTGCTTCAAATTGTTGATCCTAGAGCAAAGTTTCGCCTGTGACTCTCTCCAAACTGTTTAAATCCAATAAGTATGGCTGGTGTGCAGTTTGAGAGAATATCAACGAGACATGGTTTTCCATTGTTTCCCATGGCTTTGCCATGAATAAGGAAGATTTCGCCAGAAGCCACATTTCTTAATTGTTGCCCCGCAGGGCGCATTGTGGAAGGTAGCATAGACTCGCAGAGCGCATTTGTTCGTAATTTGGACGCGCAAAACCATCGGAACAATCATCGGGACAACCATCGGGACAACCATCGGGACAACTGTCACAATATGGCCCGGATCGGTGCGCCCCTTTGTTAGCTGACTTGGCCCTAGCTAGTGGACGAACTCGCGCAGCTTTGCCTCGCCTCGCCAGCACGCGCGTTACGCACGCTAAGCACGGCACGAACCGAAACCGAAATCGCTGTCCTAACTAGGGCACCTCACGCGTCACTTCGGTCCCACCACCAACCTCCGATCCACGTGCTCGCAGCCCGGAGTCCTCGGCCACGTGGCGGCCACGACCCCATGGTTACGAAGCTGCTTTGCACGGTTGTTCCGCGCAGAACATACCCGTGGCATCGCGCCTCGGAACGCAGACCTCGAGGGCGCAGGTCTGAATATGTTCGTCGCTCGTGAAAGCAGACATCTGACGTCCTGACGTTTCGCAACGTGCCTCTCCAAAGGCCTAAACCCCTTCCCCGGGACAGCTGCTTCGTCCCGGGCGTGCCTTGGAAGGTTCCAGTGTGCAGCACCCGGGAGGCCGAAAATGACCAAAAGCCTCCTGGCGTGATGTTTCACGCCGCGGGGATGCCAGGGGACCACCAGGAGGAAGCGAGGGCCAGCAGGGGAAAAAAGGAGAGGAGGAATAGGATGCGAGGGCCACACGGAGGAGGAGGAGGAGGAGGAAGAGGAGGAGGCGAGGGCCACACGCAGGACACCCAAGATGCATCAACGATGAAAAACACCAATTTCATAGGTTCCTACCAGCAAATACTCTCAATGCGGGAAATGGCCACTTATGGGACAACCGTGCACTTGTGCTGACATTTCGAAACCGAATTCAACACCGCGAATCAACGCTACTGCTGCCTTCTCACGATCCTGAATCGCGCCAGAACGCCATTCCTGGGACTTCGACCATGCGAATCCATGAAACGCATGACAGCTGTCAAACGAATGTGCGTTGCGCTACGGCGACAGCCACATTTGAAAGCGAACACCCTCGATCCTTGAGATTGTGGCGCTAGGGCGAGAGCCCCCTTTTTGGAAAGGAGCAAACCTCTCCATCCGAGAAGCTGTCACGAACTTTTAAAACGAACGTGCGCGGCGCTGAAGCGAAGGCACCGTTTTGAAAAAGGCTCGCCCTCCATCGGTGAAGCTGCTTCAAATCTCAAGCTTCAGGATCACAAATGGCATGGAAATCTCAGGCGAAGCGCCCGGCCCGCCACACTGACACGCCTGCGAGTGCGACAGGAAGAGGTGACTTATACGATGAGGAAAAGGAATGAAGTAGAACGGCGAGGGGGCAGCAAGGGTCAGGAGGGAAGACGAGCAGGAAGAGGAGGAGGAAGAAGGAAAAGCAGGAGAATTGGAGCCAGTCTTGCAGCCCCCACCCGAACTCACCGAACAGAAGCGCCGCGCGGAGCCCTGAACCCTACGCCCGGGGCCGCGTGCAACGCGAAGCCTGTTCGAGTTTTCATCCGGACGAGCTCATCCGAGACGAATTCATCCAATCGAGTTCGTCCAAACAACTTCTTCCAGACAATGTCATCCGAAGACGAATTCATCCGAAGACGAGTTCATCCAAAAACGAGGTCGTCCGCAGAAACAACTGCCTGGAAAAATGTATCTGGACAACTTCATCCAGACGAATTCGTCCGGAAGAACGTTGTTTCGCATGAACTCGTCGCATGAACTCGTTCAAGATGAACTGGCCGTCCTCCGAATTGGGTACCCGTGCGGAAAGAGCGGAGACGAAGAGCGACAGCAGTTCTGTCGATCTTGAACAGTGCCGGTGCCGCCGCGAACGCTGTGCACTTGAAGGGCAGCAAGTCGCCTGCCCAACGACGATCGCGGTCGGTTTGGGGGCTTGGGACCCCTTCTGCTGCTGGGCAGGGCACCTCTTAGAGCCCGCACCCGATTCGGGCGTGCCGGCGAGTGCGGCTTCCAGCTTGGAAGTCTGGGTGGCGCCGGCGGGGCCAGGGCACGCCGTGCTTTCGGATGAATGCACTCGTGGTGCGCAGACCGTCTCCGGACTGCCGCCACGCCACGCCCAAAAGTGTCTGTCGAGCCGCCGTCTTTCTCGCGCGTCTCCGCGCCGCGTGGTG